ATATCCAGCAAGGCTATCATTCAAAATACATGGTGAGCTGAAACCGGTTTGGCTCAGTGGATAGAGCGTCGGTCTGCAGACTCAAGGATGCCAGGTTTGATTCCGGTCAAGGGCATGTACCTTGGTTGCGGGCACATCCCCAATAGGGAGTGTGCAGGAGGCAGCTATTCGATGTTTCTCTCTCATCGATGTTTCTAGCTCTCTATCCCTCTCCCTTCCTCTCTGTAAAGAATCAATAAAATATATTTAAAAAACAAAACAAAATATGTGGTGAAATAAAGAGCTTCCCAGACAAAAAAAGCTAAGGGAGTTTGTCACCATCAAACCAGAACTGCAAAAATGCTTAAAGGACTGTTATAATGAGAAGAAATAGAAGGGAAAAAATGGGATTACATCAAAATAAAAAGCTTCTTCACAGCAAAATGAACCATCAACAAAATGAAAAGGGAGCCCCTGTATGGGAAAACATATTTGGCAATGATATATCTACTGTGTTTCCCCGAAAATAAGACATCCTCCGAAAATAAGACCTACTTACAGGTTTCTTTCTGAGAGAAATATAAGGCCCCCCCCTAGGCTAAACATGAGAGATTTGGTCCACTGATTCTGAAAGAAATGGAGTCACAAGAAATTCACCAGAAAATTCAGGAATTGGATTGTTATGATGATGTTCCTGAAGATGATGACATGATTGTCATTGAATAAATGAGTAAATTCTTGATACTGTAGGATTCACAGTTTGTCTGGTTTGTGTTGACAACTACTGTACTACCATACCGTATATAATAAATTTATAGGTAATAAAGGTAATAAATTTCCTTTATTTTCATTTAACAATAAATGTGTACCGTATTCTTCTTCATGGAAAAATAAGACATCCCTGAAAATAAGACCTAGCGCATCTTTGGGAGCAAAAATTAATATATGTCACTGTCTTATTTTCGGGGAAACAGGATAATAAAGGTTTAATATCCAATATATATAAGGAACTTATACAACTTAACAAAAGGAAGATAAACAATCCAATTAAAAAAAATGGGCAAAGGACCTAAATAGACACTTTTCCAAAGGGGACATACATGGTCAAGAGACATAGGAAAAAATAATCAGTTACTGATCATCAGAGAGATACAAATTAAAACTACAAGGAGGTATCATCTCACATCTGTCAGACTGACTACCATCAATAAACAACAACTGCTGGTGAAGATGTGGAGAAAAGGGAAACCTTGTGCACTCTTTGTGGGAATGCATATTAGTGCAGCCACTGTGAAAAGCAGTGTGGAGTTCCCTCAAAAATTAAAAATGAAACTGCTCTTTGACCCAGCGATCCTGGAATATATCCAAAGACTCCAAAACACCAATTCAAAAGAATATATGCAACCCTATGTTCATTGCAGCATTATTCATAACTAGAGGCAAGATGCACAAAAATTCATGCAAAAGCAGGCCTTCCTTCCGCCAGCTGCCAGCACCAGTTTCCCTCCGGCACCCAGGACCACGGCTTCCCTCCTCTGGCTGCCACGATCCAGGCTGGCATCCCTCCAAACCTAGCTTTGTCAGGAAGAATTTCTGGAATGTTGTCTGGAAGACATCTGGCCTAATTAACATATTACCCTTTTATTATTATAGATGGCCAAGTTCTGGAAACAACCCAAGTGCCCACCAGTAAATGAGTAGATAAAAATGCTATGGTACATTTATACAATGAAATACTATGTGGCCATAAAAAATAAGGAAATCTTACCTTTTGTGAAGCATGGACAGACGTGGATGTTATTATGCTAAGTGAAATAAGCCAGTCAGAGAAAGATAAATATTATATGATCTCACTTACATGTGGAATCTAATGAACAAAAAAGGTCCAGAGACATAGATGCACGGAACAGACTGATAGATCTCAGAGGGAAGGGAGGCAGGGGTTTGAAAAGAGATTAATCAAAGATATTATATACATATGTGCATAGCCCATGAACACAGACAATAGTGCAGCTTGGGTGGGGTATGGGTGGAAGGGAGCAAGGGGGATAGGAATGGGAGACATCTGTAATGCTATCAACAAAATAAAAAAATTTTAAATGAGCAGAGGACCTGAACAGATACCTCTCCCAAGAAGACATACAATCAAACAATAGATACATGAAAAGATGTTCAACTTCAAAGCTATTAGGGAAATGCAAAGAAAAACTACAATGAGATACCACCTCATACCTATTAGAATGGGTATTATCAACAAGACAAATAATAACAAGTGTTGGAGATAATAATACAATACAACCACTATATAAAATAGTCTTGTGGTTCCTCAAAAAATTAAGAATAGAGTTACCATATGACCCAGCAATCCCTCTTCAGGGTTTCTACTTAAAAAAAATTTTTTTTCCGTAAAGATATATGCACCCCTATGTTCACTGCAGCATTATTCATGATGGCCAAGACATGGAAACAAAAGTGTCCTTCGATAAAGGATTGATAAAGAAGATGTGGTACATACATACAATGGAATACTACTGAACCATAAGAAAAGATAAAATATTGCCATTTGTGACAACATGAATGTAACTTCAGAATATTAAGCTGAGCAAAATAAGTCAGAAAAAGCTAAGAACCATATGATTTCAATATGTGAGAAATAAAACTGAAACTCACACACAGTATGATGGTTACCAGAAGAAAGGGAGTGGGGATTTTGGGGGGTCAAGGAGGTCCAATATATTATCATAGAAGATGGTTTGACTTTGGGTAGTGGGCACACAATGCAATATACAGATCACATATCATAGAAATATACACTTGAAACTCATATGATCCTATTAACCAATGTCACTCCAATAAATTTAATTTTTAAAACAGGAGAAAAGCAAAAGAAAGAACTACTTAACATAATGGTGGTTGGACTTGCTGAGTTTAAAATAAAACCTTTTTCAATCTCAAAATTAAAATTATAATGAAAAACAAAATATAGGATATGTCACATATCTATGCTTCTTTAAATACAACTCAGATTAAATACATATATTAAATAAATGAAATCCTGGTCAGGCTGCCTTTTTTTCTTTTTCTTTCAATCAGTAAAGAAGAAAAAGTAACCATAGAATAGTTTACAAAAATTATTTTTTTCCTCCACTAACATTTGGGGGTAGTGTCTTAGGAATATGGTGTACCATTTTCTATCTACTTGCTTATTCACATAAAGCTAACAGTCATTTAAATCAGTGTATTAAAAAAAATTGGAATCAATCCAAAAACACATGTTTTCCACTTTCAAACATAAAATTAATAGTCTATACTTGTGATTTCATTTATTTAAATTTAATCTAAAAATTGGTGATAGTTCTTTGTAAATAAATTCAAAAGAATTTCTAACATCTGTTTCACCTACAAATTATTATTTTTTTAAATATATTTTATTGATTTTTTACAGAGAGGAAGGGAGAAAGATAGAGAGCTAGAAACGTCGATGAGAGAGAAACATCGACCAGCTGCCTCCTGCACACCCCCCACCGGGGATGTGCCCACAACCAATGTACATGCCCTGACCGGAATCGAACCTGGAACCTTTCAGTCTGCAGACTGACGCTCTACCACTGAGCCAAACCGGTTTCGGCTCACCTACAAATTAATTCTGAGTTTATTGTGAATAGTTAAAGACTATATTTTTAATATAGTAACAGTTATTTAAATTTTATTTTCATTTATGTGAATTTAATATCCCTGACTTGTCAAGCAAATGCATGAAACAACAAAAAATGATTAAGAACCATGTATGTGTTCTAAAGTAAAGCCAAAAAATATACACTGAGTGGCCAGATTATTATGATCTCTGAATGCATGATAATCTGGCCACTCAGTGTATATAAATATATATAGTAGAGGGCTGGTGGATAAATTCGTGCATGGTGGGGTCCGGCAGCTTGGCCAGTGGGAGGGGACATGGGCTGTTGGAAGGCCTGCCTGCTGGTCAAACTCTGGCTGAGGGGACAATTTGCATATTAGCCTTTTATTATATAGAATATACACTTAGTGGCCAGATTATTATGCATTCAGAAATCATAATAATCTGGCCACTCAGTGTATTTGGCCATTAAAAAAAATCAAATAATGGCCCTAACCAGTGGATAGAATGTTGGCTTGCAGATTCAAAGGTCCCAAGTTCGACTGCGGTCAAGGGCATGTTCCTTGGTTGCGGGCACATCCCCAGTAGGGGTGTGCAGTAGGCAGCTGATTGATGTTTCTCTCTCATCGATGTTTCTTACTCTCTGTCGCTCTCCCTTCCTCTCTGTAAAAAATCAATAAAATGTATTGTAAAAAATCAAATAATGTAATTATCGACAAGATACACATACATCATATAAGAATAATAAAACTTTCAATTATTACTTAAAGAAGTGAAAAGAACTCAACAATTTTTAGTACCGCTCTCAATATTAAAATATATTGTATAGTAGTCTCATTTCCTAATTCTAAAGGATTTGTAGAAGCTTTACAGAATTTTTTAAAAAGGTACCAAGAACACTAGGAAGTTATAGCTATACTACACTCTACAGACAAACAGTAACAAAAGTATATGATCAGGTTAATCTTATTCATGGGTATAAACTAGGTAATTAAAGTTTGCCTTACAATTTTTTAATCCCAAAATACCTAGAGACATGGTATTTCAATTTTAATAAAGATTAAAATACAGACTGATAAAAAAATAAAATACAGACTTTCCCTAAAGTTTTAACTTACATGTCATAACCTTTTGACTCACAGGTACACACAAATTAAGATGCAAAAGCCAAATGACATTTCATTATATTTCATGCAAATAATCATATTCAACACAATATATTTTATATCTTTATAATTGCCAGAAACATGATTGAGTTTACTCATGAAATAATGGGTTGTTCTGTAAATGACTATGACTAAAAAAAGACTTACTGCTAAACATTGAAGTATTATTCTTTTAATCATTAAATATTTTCTAAAATAAAGATGGTTACAACACTTACCTCTGTCTTTTTATTAATGTGATCTGTAAAATAGAATGGTGATACTTCATTGAAGAAAACTAACATATAAAAATATTTCAATATGTAAAAAATATATAAACAAAATAACAAAAGAATTTCAAAATTATGAGTTTCAGAAGTCATTTGGGAGTTACCTAGGATTCGTCATATTTATTCTAAAGATAAGATGTTAAAATTCAATATATAACTATTAACTTGTTCAGCTTTGCGACTAAGTCTTATATCCCAGTAAATGCCACCCATAACGAGGGGTATTAAATTTTAAACATTTGAATTCCACATCATTTAAGTTTGGTTTCACATAGTATGTTTGAAAGGAGGAGAGATTTTGAGGGGGCATAAAATATGTCTAAAATCTAATCACAGGATACTATGACTGCAAAAACTATACATATCACTGCCTTTGTGGAATAAAATAAAAAGTCCAATAATTTGTGTCCTTTAAAAGTATTAGCTAGATTTTGTTTTAAAAAATGCATCATAGTGATTTGATATACTATAAAAATTCTAAAAATTAATGTATATTTATAGAACACAAAAAGAAAGCAAAATATATATTTAGATTAAACAAGTCATTGTCTTAGTAACAACAGCATTTGTGAAAAAGTATTACAAAATGAGGAAAAGGAGGACATAAGGGAATCACACAGAAGACTAAAACTGAAATACAAATAGGAAGCAAGTGTTTTTATTTAAATTGAAAATGATCAGGATATGTAATATTTAATAAGGCTTCTTGTAGACAGCAAAAATTCTCCATTCTCAAGGACTAATAATTGAATAGAAATGCTTTCTTATGATTGAGAAGTTAAAAGTTGAACCAGTTCTCTAAAGCATCCACTAATCAGAATAAAGTCCATAAAGATAGTAAATGTCAAAATCAGATCTAACTACCAAATCCTAGTAGATTACAATTTACTAGCCTATTCTACTTAGTATACAATGCCAGAATTTGAGGAAGAATGTGTTAATCGTGTCTTATAATAGTTGTATAGTTTCCTCTTTAACAGTATTATACTGATGTCCTTTTCAATTCACTTAATATATTTATATAACACTTAATAAACCAAACATATGAAAAATAAATTAAGGAGTTTTTTTTACATGCTCCCGCTTAATTTTTAAGAAAATATTTCTTATATAAAATCTTAATTACTAAAATTGGAAATTTTATTTTAGCATACATCTGGTCCTTTTAACCCCAAAACAAAGCAACTTTCCTGATCCTTAATGGTAAGCAATATAATCCTCTAAATTTATTCCTACTTTCACAAATAAGTTTTTTTCTGAAAACAGTACCAGTAGGGTGGTGGTGTTTTTTTTGAGATTGTTTTTATGGTATTATTAATCCTCACAGAACAAATGCTCAGTGTATTAACGCTAAATTCACATAAATCAAATAGGCAGCTCTGCCATTGAACCAATAGCTGTCCTCTTGGTTGGTATAATCACAGTGCTGTTCAAAGTAATTTTCTGACTGCTGTCTGATAAGAAGTTACTAGTCACATGATTATTGAGCACGTGAAATGTGGCTAATGCAACATTTAAAAATAATATTTATTGCCCAAACCAGTTTGGCTCAGTGGATAGAGCGTCAGTCTGTGGACTGAAGGGTCCCAGGTTTGATTCCAGTCAAGGGCAGGTACATTGGTTGTGGGCACAGCCCCGGTGGGGAGTGTGCAGGAGGCAGCTGGTCGATGTTTCTCTCTTATCGATGTTTCTAGCTCTCTATTCCTCTCCCTTCCTCTCTGTGGAAAATCAATAAATATAAATATTTTTTAAAAAAGAATAGAAAATGGAATTAAAAAAATAAATAAAAATAATATTTATTTTAGGTTATTTTAACTAATTTATATTTAAGTTGTCACACATGAATAGTGTGAGATCTAGGGTTTTCATCATTTACCACATCAAAAGTAAAGTGCTTTGTAGTCCGTCTTCAAAAATATGGTGGATGGTATAATTTTCTTCTATCTTCTATTTTTGATTAAAAAAAAATTACAAATGATGAGATATAGTTCTAGATAATTTGAGGAGGTTGACCAATAATGGATGAACCCTAAAGATACTATTTCTGATCTAATTTAAGCCAAATCAAATTATGTATAAGGACAAAAATATGTCTCATAATGACTTAAAAATTACTAATGTTAATTTTTTATTTTCAGTGTGTTTCAGAAAAGGGATAAAATTAGAAATACAAAAAGATAAATTCTAGTTTTATGGGGTTTTAATGATTGATTTAAATTACTTTAACATCCAAATGGTTTATTTCCAAACAGGTTTACATTCTACATTTTTAAGTAACAGATTAACAAAACCATTTTTACTTATTTTCAAAATTAAAAAGGTACTTACAAAGCAAGTAAACAAAGACTTAGAACAGTTACTCTACATATAGATTTCACACATATATTACCTTCAGATTGAAAATCTTTTAGTGATACTGTGAGAGGTTTGTCTTTTCCCTGATGATTCTTTCTTTTATCTTTTTTATTCACAACCTTTGACTGAGTTGAAGCATTTTCATTATTTTCATACTCCTAAAAGAATTATAGACAACCATTAAGCTTAGTTTACCGTAGTAAAACTAACTCTCTAACAGATAATGTTTATTAACATTTTCTTTTTAAAGATAAAAAGCAAATTAAACATAAAAACTAAGGCTAGTCAACTTGTATAAAAAGATACCCATTTATTTATATAGTCAATCTCTTTCATCTTAACTATTAAAATAACAAGAAGCTTACCTTGATTTATTAACCCCTCCAAGTTGCCACACTCATCCATTTCTGGACCAAACTTAAAACAATAATCCACCATCAATTTGCTTACACACACACACACACACACACACACACATCACAAAACCTCTGAAATATGGCTTCTGCTGTTCTTTGACACTAAAATAAAGGCCAACTTCCATTTAAATGCCATATCCAAAGGACATTATTTTTCAAGCATTTCTTGATTTTCTCAATGCATTTCTGACTATTCTTCAGTCTCCTTTCACTAGCTTCTCTTTTACTAACTCTGTTCTTAAAAATGTTCCTGCTATTCACTATTATTCTATTCTAACCCATTCTTATTCTTTATACCCACTATTCTTCAAACTCAAAGTTTAAAGTTCTACCCATACAATGATAATTTCTATAAGTTCAGACAACTCAATTGGGATGTTCATTAAGTATCTCCAATTTCCTAGAAAGGACTGATCCTTTAGTGAGTATCCTGTTTAATGCCACCATCACATACACAAGTATCTAGGCCAGAAACCTCAGCCATCCTTGCTTATTCTTTCTACACACTTTTTTTTCAAATTTAATAAATCTTTATTGCTCAGATTATTACAATTGTTTATCCTTTTTCCTCCCCCATAGCTCCCTTCTGCCTGGTTCCCACCTCACCCTCTGCTCTTACCTCTCCCCCCCCCAAATTGTCCTCGATTTTAATCGTCTCTTCCTGTACCCCACACCCCTCCCACCTGATAATTATCAATCCACTCCCTTTCTTTACCCCTGATTCTATTATATTCACCAGTTTATCCTGTTCCTCAGATTTTTAATTCACTTGATTTTTAGATTCACTTGTTGATATATATATGTATTTATTCATCATAATTTTTATCTTTACCTTTTTCTTCTTCTTCCTCTTCTTAAAGAATACCTTTCAGCATTTTATATAATACTGGTTTGGTGGTGATGAACTCCTTTAGCTTTTTCTTATCTCTGAAGGTCTTTATCTACCCTTCAATTCTGAATAACTTTGCTGGGTAAAGTAATCTTGGTTGTAGGTTCTTGCTATTTATCACTTTGAATATTTCTTGCCACTCCCATCTGGCCTGCACAGTTTCTGTTGAGAAATCAGCTGATAGTTGTATGGATGTTTCTTTATAGGTAACCAACCGTTTTTCTCTTGCTGCTTGTAAGATTCTCTGTCTTTTGCTCTTGGCATTTTAACTATGATGTGTCTTGGTGTGGTCCTCTTTGGATTCCTTTTGTTTGGGGTTCTGTGCACTTCCTATACTTGTAAGTCTATTTCTTTCACCAAGTGGGGGAAGTTTTCAGTCATTATTTCTTCAAATAGGTTTTCAGTATCTTGCACTCTCTCTTCCTCTGGCACCCCCATAATTCTGATGTTAGTACGCTTGAAGTTGTCCCAGAGGCTCCTTACACTATCTTCAACTTTCTGGATTCTCTTCTCTTGCTTCTCCGAAGGAGTGTCCTTTGCCTCTTTGACTTGATTCTTGCGTTCCTCTAGTCTGCTGTTGGGTCTCTGTATAATATTTTTTTATTTCAGTCAGTGTACGTTTAATTTCTAGTTGATCCTTTTTCATATCGAGGGTCTCGTTAAGTATATCGGCCTTTTCTAGGAAATTCTTGAAAAACCATATAACCGTGGTTTTGAACTCTATATCCAGGCTTTTGTTCTCCTCCATTTCTTTCATTTGAGAACATTTTCCTTGACTTGGCATTTTCGCTGCTTCCCTGAGTTGGTAGGATGGCTTTGTGTGTTTGATGTGCTATATGGCCTGGTGGGTCAGCCCCAGTTACCTGAGGTAGACACTCTTGGTGCTCCCCTTTGTGGACTGTGTGTACAGCCTTGTTGTAGTTAAGTCTTGATTGTTGTTGGTATCACTGGGAGGAATTGACATCCAGGCCAATTGGATGTAAGTATCAGCTGTGTCTACACTGGGATATCTTCTATTTTGGAGACCGTCTTACAGGATCAGACTTGAAAAATTGCAACAGCCTCTGTGCTCAGCTTGGATGTGACAGAGTCTCAGGGCTGAGCCGACAGTCTTGTCTTCCAGTCAGTCCTGCCCTTGTGCACGTGCCTCAGACATCTGCCTTCCAAGGCTCCCCTGGGTTTCTGCCTGACAGTCCCAATTCCCCCTGCAAGAGCGTGGGCACCCCAGGGGCTCGCCCAGAATTGGGTTGGGTCTCTGTAGTCTGGAACTTCCGACTCCTTCTGCTATGGAAAGGCCGTGGCAACCTCCACGGTCAGACCTCTCTGCATGCACTCATTCGCGCGCACGCCTGTATACCCTGCCCTCTGGGCTCCTGGCTCCCTCAAGCCTCTTAGTCTCTGAGTCTGGGTGCTTTTCTCTACAGTCCAGACTCCACCTGTATGAGCCTGGGTCTGTGGGGTTTCGGCTGGGGCCGGGGTTCAGTGCAGTCAGAGGCTTCCTTTCCCCTCCCGCCAGCCCAGCACTCAGCTGCCCTTCCTCTCTGCATGTGAGCGTCTCCCTACCTCAGCGCTTTGCAGTTCCCCTGATCTGTGAGCTTCTCTCCTTATTTCTAGTTGTAGATTTTTCCACTTAGCCAGTTTTCCTGTGGTTTTGGATGATGTCCATTTTGTCTTTTAGTTGTTTTGAAATTGTGCCAGGCAGCAGCTTAGGTACCTAGGCTGCCATCTTGGTTTCTTTCTCTTTCTACACACTTTATATCCAAATTAGAGGCCCAGTGCACAAAATTCGTACACAGGGGAGTGTATCACGCAGCCCAGCCTGCAACCTATCCAATCTGGGACCCCTGAAGGGATGTCCAACTGCCCATTTAGGCCCAATCACAGTAGGATCGGGCCTAAATGGGCAGTCAGACATCCCTCTCACAATCCAGGACTGCTGGCTCCCAACTGCTCACCTGCCTGCCTGCCTGATTGCCCCTAACCACTTCTGCCTGCCAGCCTGATCACCCCCTAATCACTCCCCTGACGGCCTGATTGATGCCTAACTGCTCCCCTGCTAGCCTGATTGCCCCTAATTGCCCTCCCCTGCTGGCCTGGTCACTACTAACTGCCCTCCCCTGCAGGGCCTGGGTACCCCGCAACTGACCTTCCCTGCAGGCCTGGCCACCCCAATTTCCTTCCTCTGCTGGCCTGGTCACCCCTAACTGCCCTCCCCTGCATGCCTGGGTCTCCCCAAAATGACTTCCCTGCAGACCCGGTTGCCCCCAGCTTCCCTCCTTTGCTGGCCTGGTCACCCCTACTGCCCTCCCCTGAAGGCTTGATCACCCCCAACTGCCCTCCCTGTAGGCCTGGTCCTTCCCAACTGCCCTCCCCTGCTGGCCATCTTGTATCCACATGGGAGCAGCCATCTTTGACCACATGGGGGCAGCCATCTTGTGTGTTGGAGTGATGGTCAATCTGCATATTACTCTTTTATTAGATAGAATTAGCAATATAGCTTGTTTAATTTACCTACTAAGCATCTCTTAAATCTATCCTCTTTTTTTCATACCTTCTGTTATTTCCCCTATCTTCTTTTGCTTGACACTGCAACACTCTAATATTATTCCCTCGATCCATCTTCTACACTGCTACAGTATGAGTTTCTAAAATGAAAACCCAAATTCAATCTAAAAGTTAAAAATATTCAATAGTTCTCTGTATATGTCTAAAACCTCATCTCCTTAGCCTGGTACACAAGGTTCTTTATAACTTATTCTTCTGACAGTATCTCTAGCAACTCCAGGTCCCTAAATTACAGTTTTTAAAATATGCTATATGCTTATACACTTGCCACTCCTCCCAAGAGGCCAACTTTCCTCTTAACCACCTGTGAACTTCTAATACATTTAGAAAGATCCTCTCTTAAGAATCCTTTCCTAAAATCCATCCCCATCAAAGGCATAGAAAGTTCTTACAACTTTCTGAATTCCCTCTGCACTGAAAACACACATTTCTCAATATTATATGCCATAAATATATGTATGTCTTCCTTCACTAAACCCAAGGAATGGAACCATGTCTTAATCTTTGTTATGGTTATCTATCACATTTTGTCTATTCAAAAAAAAAAAACTGGTGAATAAGTGATAGAACAGAATAAAAAATGCCATCTCAAACATTAGTTATTATAAAAATCCTTAAGCTAAAGTATAGTTTTGTGGAAGGTTTCATATTTTTAAAAAAAAAATTTTTTTTTTTATTTCAGAGAGAAAGGGAGAAGTAGAGAGAAATAGAAACATCGATGATGAGGAAGATGTGCCAAGTGGGATTCAAATTGTGACCTCCTGGTCCATAGATTGCTGCTCAATCACCGAGCCACACCAGCCAAGCATAGTTTTTAAATTAAAATAACTGACTTGAAACTCAATGACTACTCTACATCAATGTAATCACATCAAACTAGCCATTACAGATTAAAGAAATTCCTCTATTCTCTGAGGGTACTACACTTATGTGCCAAGAAAACGGGCTGGATGCATGATAGTTCATGATACAATCTACTCTATTCCTCCTCTAAAGATACAGCTAATCATTTTAGCCTTAGAATCTAGATATATTATCTACCAAATCTGATAAATTTCCAATATTATCTGAAAGTCCATTAAATGATTTAAGTCATAGTAAAGCTAGCTGTATCCAGTTTTGTAATTGTCAGGTTTGTGTCTAAATGGTCAGGTAACCAAAAAATTAGTTACTCTTGATTTTTCAAGATAACAGAAATAGAAAATTAAACTAATACATATAGTGTACAAACGTCCACCTCATTGGCTTTCTTCCTCTTCCCTTTAGCTATGAATAAATAGCAAAATCATTACCTGTTATTTTAATTATTCTCTTCCCTTCATCTGGAGTGAAGAAGCTAGTGTATAATGACATAGCCTAAAGGCCCTAAGCATGACCAGAGGGCATTTATGATTAATGAGTAATGACAAGTTGAATAAATTTTATAGATAAAAAAATTCCCAATACATGTAAAGGACTAAAGTTAAATAATATGAAGATAATATAAATGCTCAATTTAAATACAGAAACTGAAACCAAAACTACTTTTTTACTTAAGTGTTCCTATAGTTGCAAAATGTAGAATGCATTTAAGCCCAACATCACAGCTTAGTGACAAATGCTGAATTCACAAGGCCAAATTATCAGAAATGTCCTCCCATTTACTTTAGTTAATTATAGTGTATCTCCAGAAGAGGGTCTCTTAATGGATGTCCCTGTACTCATAATTACTTTATATTTTTAAATCTACTTCTTTTCTATGTTTGTTTAAAATAAGTAAAAATAAGTCATTTGCTGTTAATTTAATTTCCTCTCTTTCCTTCATATTTGGAAGGAACTTCTTAAAATAAACACTCCAAATCATCAGACAAAGCTAAGGCCACATTTCAGTTGTCTCTCAAAACCTGAGGAAGAATCCTATATAATCCTATATAATAAAGAACTAATATGCAAATGGTCGTCAGGCCCTCATGCCCTCGAGCAGGAACTACTCAGACACTCAACACTGGAGAGAAAGGAATGGGGACCAGTCAAGCACAAATGAGCTTGCAAGAGAGGAATAGGGACCAGCCAGACTGGGGCCCGGGAGAAGGATAAGCCACCCACCCCAAAGTCCCAGGCGCCAGCAAGCATCCTGTGTCTGCAGTTGGCCGTAGGCAAAGCCGGCCTGGATCCTGGGTGCCTGCAGCAAACCAAAGGGAGGGAATCCTGGGTCCCGAGTGTGGAGTGAGGCAAAGGAGGTTAGGGGTGATTAGGCCAGCAGGGGAGCAGTTAGGTGCATTCAGGCAGGTAGGCAGGTGAGTGGTTAGGAGCCAGCGGTCCCAGATTGCAAGAGTCAGTTGGACATCCCCTGAGGGGTCCCAGACTGGAGAGAGTGCAGGCCAGGCTGAGGGATCCTGCCTCCCCCTGCACAAATTTCGTGCATGGGGCCTCTAGTCTTATTATAAAAACCGTGTGTACCCTCGCCAGTGTGGCTCAGTTGGTTGGAGCATCAACCAATACATCAAAAGATCATAGCCAGGCCCTAACTGGTTTGGCTCAGTGTATAGAGCATCAGCCTGCACACTCAAGGGTCCCAGGAACGATTCTGATCAAAGGCATGTACCTTGCCAAAGCCGGTTTGGCTCAGTGGAAGAGTGTCGGCCTGGGGACTGAAGGGTCCCAGGTTCGATTCAGGTCAGGGGCATGTACATTGGTTGCGGGCACATCCCCAGTGGGGGGTGTGCAGGAGGCAGCTGGTCGATGTTTCTCTCTCATCGACGTTTCTAACTCTCTGTCCCTCTCAATTCCTCTCTGTGTAAAATCAATAAAATATATTAAAAAAAAAAAAAAAAAAAGGCATGTACCTTGGTTGCAGGCACATACCCAGCAGGTGGTGTGCAGGAGGCAGCTGATCGATGTTTCTCTCTCATCGATGTTTCTAGCTCTATATCCTTCTCCCTTCCTCTCTGTAAAAAAAAAAAAAAAAAAAAAAAAAAAAAAAAAAAAAATATATATATATATATATATATATATATATATATATATTAAAAAAAAAAAAGATCATACCCAGTTTGGGGATTTGATCCCTGGTCAGGGTGCATAAGGGAGGCAATCAATCAATGTTTCTCTCTCAACAATGATCTCTCTTTTTCTTTCTCTCTCTCTCTCTCCCTTCCTCTAAAAATCAGTATTTTTAAAAAAGATCTTATGGTTGTTGTTGTTTTTTTATTGAAAAACAAAGTAAAAACAGCGTGATAATATTGTTACCACAAACTTTAAAGAAAATTTTAATTCATAATTCGAGAAGGTTGGTGCTAACTTTTGACCACTTAAAACCTAAAACATCTAAATGAACAAATGTGTAAATACCTTTTTGTGTTCTTCATATTCTAATTTACTTAACAACAATGCCTTCTCAAGATCTGCTTCAAACATTTCAGAAGTCAGCTAAAAAAAAAAAAGTTTCACAATAAATAGACGATAGCATTATACCACAGTAACTATTGACAATATATACAGGAAAAGAAAAAGAAATATTAAAAAACGGTCTGAGTTCTCCAAAGTTATCATCCATGCCAAAGAAAGGAACCCTGTATTTTATAGAAGACTAGAGGCCTGGTGCATGAAAAACTCATGCACTTGAGGGGGGCAAGGGGTCTCTCAGCCTGGCCTACATCCTCTCATAGGTAGGATCCCTAGGAATAGCCTGAGATCAGGGCCTATCCGGGCTATCCTTCCTCCAACTGTAGGCAGCTGGCCCCACCCCTGCTGCTGCCACTGCTTGCCATCTGTGCAATGCTGCCTCCCCTCCCCTGCCACCAGTGGCCTCCCTCTGCAGGGGACAGACTGGGGTGCAATGGCTTGGCTGGCCTGGGCCTCCATCTTTCCTTGCTGGGGGGTGGGGCCAGCCCTGAAAGGGGCCATCTGCCTATCTCATCACCCCTAACCACTGGCCTCGCTACCTGATAACCCCTAACTGCTGGCCTGCCTGCCAGCCTGATCACCCCTAACCACTCTGCCTGCCTGCCTGATCATCCCTAACATCTTGCGTGGGGGCGAGACCAGACCTGCCAGGGGCTGTAGTTGTTCTGGTCTCTAGTTGTTCTGGTCATTACATGGTGGCTGGCCTTTTATTATATAGGATACCAAAACAAAACTTCCAATTTTGAGCAGAAACTGGTTTGGCTCAGTGGATAGAGCATCGGCCTATGGACTAAAAGGTCTCGGTTCGATTCCTGTCGAGGACATGTACCTTGGTTGTGGGCACATCCCCAGTAGGGGCTGTACAAGAGGCAGCTGATCGATGATTCTCTCTCATTGATGTTTCTAACTATCCCTCTCTCTCCCTCTCTGTAAAAAATAAATAAAATATATATTTTTTAAAAACTTCCAATTTTAAGATTTACATTTCCCCTTTGATTGTCAATAATTCATTGAATATCACATAATCCTTTGCTTTATAAGTTTGTTTTTTGCTTTTGTTTTTTAATATCCTCACCCCAGGATATTTTTCCATTGATTTTCAGAAAGAGGGGAGGGAAAGACAGAGAGAAACATTGATGACAGGAACATATCAATTGGTTGCCTCCTGCACAAGGCCAGACCAGGGAAAGAGCTGCAACTAAGCTAGGTGCTCTTGACCAGAATCAAACCCAGGACCTTTTGGTCTGAAAGGTTGACGCTCTAGCCACTGAGCAAACTGGCAAGGGCTAGTAGTTTTGATATGTTGGCCATGTTTTTTTTCTTCAAGTGATTTAAAACTCATAAATTGAAAAGTCTTTTACATAAGTAAATTTAGAGGCACACTTGGAACTAACAATAACCATATTTTGTTACCAATATGAAAATTTAAAATACCTATTGACTCTTCTGACCTATTCCTTCCTAATTTTTGTTTTCATAAACAGGGATTTCATTTTAGACAAATTTTTCAAGTGAGCTATACAGTAGTCCTCAAGTTACATCGGAGATCCATTCCTACAGCGCGACATAACGTGATTTTCGCTGTAAATTGGAACCCACCTACATAAGCACCTATGTCACTCACTTGAAGCACATACACAGCAGTACTGAAGTAAAACTGTAAAAAAAAAAATTATTTTAAAAAATATATTTAATTGATTTTTTACAGAGAGGAAAATATAGGGATAGAGAGCTAGAAACATTGATGAGAGAGAAACATCGACCAGCTGCCTCCTGCACACCGCCTACCAGGGATGTGCCCACAACCAATGTACATGCCTTTGACTGGAATCGAACCTGGAACCTTTCAGTCCGCAGGCCAATGCGCTATCCACTGAGCCAAACCAGTTTTGGCAGTAAAAAAAAAATTTAAAGAAAGATAATTCCTAACCTTTACTTGTGGTAAATAAATAAACAAACAAACAAACATTATTTTTTTTGTAAATAAATGCAAGATGGCAACATAACCATGGAACAAGGTATGTCAAGTCTGATGTAACCTGAGGACTGCCTGTATCTGTTGGTTCTTTCATTCACTCATTCCTTGGTATAAACCAAGACTTTAGTTTTCTTTCTTTTTTTTTTAAAAAAAATATATTTTATTGAAGGGAGAGGGGTAGAGAGTTAGAAACATCGATGAGAGAGAAACTGCCTCCTACACACCCCCAACTGGGGATGTGCCCGCAACCAAGGTACAAGCCCTTGACAGGAATCGAACCTGGGACCCTTCAGTCCGCAGGCTGATGCTCTATCCACTGAACCAAACCGGTGTCAGCTAAACCAAGACTTTAAGAGCTCCTTTAGTAAGGACTCCAATCTCTGAAATGACTGCATCCCATGAGAGCTTACAGTTGTACGTATGGAAAATATAGCAATTCATAAATAATAATATAATAAACTCTTCTGCAGCCTCACAACTGTAAATGTACTTTTGTCCCACCCTGTATATGTATACAGACACTCAAGTCTCCCAGTCTCAGCGATCTATTTTTCATGATGGTGATATCCCCTTTGAGAAAACTTAGGACTAAAGATAAAATCTGTATGATTTTCTGGTATTTCCTGATTGTTGAAAGAAGGCATCCTCTAAAATTTCCAGAAAACTATGTTCCATTTCTCTAAGCACAGGTATTTACAGATTGACTTAAAGCAATTGTATAAGAAAAAATATTTCTTTTATGAACTCCTGCTTCAGTTTTATAACTTTTTATGAAAGTACTAGAGGTCCAGTGTAGCCCTGCCCCCTGGGGTAGAGTGAGTGATCAGGGATGGGCTGGCAGGGAAGGGAAAAGGGTGGGGCTTTTGGCCAGTGGTTCCACCCTTGATCAGGGTGGGAGAGTCCAGTATTGGGCAGTACTTATTAAAGGACTAGTGAGCTGGTGCATGGATTAGTGCACATTGAAAGGAAATTAATTAGAAGGTGGCCAGCAGGGCAGGACTGGATGAGATGGGCCGGACACACCCTGGAGCCAACTTCCTGTGGTCCCTCCCTGGCTGGCAGCACCTGGTGAGGCACCATGGCTCGAAGGATGTCTGCAGAGTGAGCAGGGTCCCTCTGGCAGGTGGGGTCTCTCAGCCTGGCCTGTGGGGACTGGGCCAAAACAACATCCCCCGAGGGGTCCTAGAGTGTAAAAGGGCACTCTGCAAAGTTGCTGTTATATAGGGTGTGGAATGCAAATGCAAGTGTGCAGTAAACCAGTTTCAGGAACAACAGTGCTCCAGCAACAATATAACCCACTGTCAACAGTGGAATCTTGCAGCCTCATGAGGAATTGGGCTCCCTCCTCTCTAGTTTTGGGGTGTGCCACCTGAGAACTGCCCCTGCAGCTCGGCAGCTCCTATGTTGAGTGCCCCCTGGTGATCAGTGCACATCATAGCGACTAGTTAGATGGTCAGGCACTTTAGCATATTAGTCTTTTTTATATATAGATACTTTTGAGAACAGTAACTGGGAAGAATGGGAAAAGAGCAGGTTTGAGCAGAGGAATAAGTAAAGCTGCAATGCTGGCCAAGGATTAGCCACAGCGAACCACAGAGAGAGCTCTTGGGTCAATGGGGGAAAAAGGAGACATATGTACTTGATCAGGACATTTGCTGGCCACAGTGGGCATCATAGCAACCAGTTGTTTTGACTTTATGGTTGCTGGCTTTTTATATATATATATATAAAAGATGATTGATATATAATATTAGTTGTGTTAGTTTCAGGTGTATAACTATGTTCTTTTTAATAACCACATTTACAATCACTATTTACAGTTAATTCTATATTGAACTAGCTTCAATACTGATGCTTTCCAATTGCTGTGCTCTTTATTTAGATTTGCCTTTTAATTGACAGGAGCACATCTCCAAAAAATTTGCAAAAAGGATAGTGTCGTATGTTTTCTCAGCCCTTGCTTGAGAAATGCATTTCTGAGAATGTAGTTATTCAGCAGTCATACAAATGACATTTTGGCTAGATACTGAATTTTTGGTCCCAACATTTTAATTCTGGCTTTTAAAGTAGCCAATTTGCAGCTGATAGATGTTCCTTCCTCATTAATGTTTCTAACTCTCTAACCTTCTCCTTTCCTCTCCATAAAATCAATATATTTAAAAAAATAAAGTAACCAACCTGGCTTTTCATCCTTAGTAGGCAATCTGATTTCTTTCATGCATATATTTATAGTATTATTTCCTTGTTTTCTCATTCTTAAAGTTAAAAACTTTTACAAAGACTTCAGTTTTTTAAAAAAGGTAGAGTTCTTCTTTCAAGCTCAGATTCAAGTCTTGGCTTCTGAACATTTTTTATCAATATTATTTTTAATGACTCCCTCTGTTCTACTTCTTTTAAGGCAACTAATTATACCTTTGCTGAATTTTAGTTCTGTGTTCCAATCTTACATCAATTTTATTGGCAAAAATTTATCTTGAGCCCTGGCAGGTTTGGTTCAGTGGATATAGCCTTGGGACTGAAGGGTCCCAGGTTCGATTCCTGTCAAGGACATGTACCTTGGTTGTGGGCACATCCCCAGTTGGGAGTGTGTGGGAGGCAGATGACTGATGTTTCTCTCTCATTAATGTTTCTGATTCAGTTTATTTCCCTTCCTCTACGTAAAAAATCAATAAAATATATATATTTTTAAATTTATTTCATATTTTCCTTCACACAATTGATTCAATTGTTTTCAGTTTATATCCTGGTTCTTTAGTCTTTCCAATAAAGTTTTTAATTCTGCTATGATTTTACTAGTACTTCCCAGATTTTTTACTTTACCTATCTCCCTTTCAATTTCTGTCTCTTAGCCACTTTTTCATCCCAGTCTATTGTTTCCCCTTGTTATATAACACTAGAGGCCTGATGCACAAAAATTCAGGCCTTCCTTCCCCCAGCTGAAAGCACTGGCTTCCCTCTGGTACCCGGGACCCAGGCTTTTCTCGCAGCCCCAGCTTTGTCCAGAAGAATGTCTGGTCTAATTAGCATATTACAGTTTTATTATTATAGATTAGTATAAACATTCATGCAGCGGGGAAGGGGAGCTCTCAGCGTGGCCTGCACCTTTAGCAGTCTGGGAGCCGTCAGGAAAAGTCAAACTGACGGCTTAGCACTGCTGTGGAGGTGGGCCACTGTGCTCGCCAGGATGTCAGCCTGGCTTATGGTTGAGCAGCGCTCCCCCTGTGGAAGTGCACTGACCACCAGGGGGCAATTTCTTCCCCCTGATGGTCAGTGAGAGTTATAGCAACTGGTCATCTGCCATTTGGTCGATTTGCATATTACCCTTTTATTATTTAGGATTAGTATCCCCACCCAGAGTTTTACAAAATTTTCTAAACCCTTAGTTTTTATTATCTAAGCTAAAAAAATGGAGATTGTGCAAATCTTTCACTTTGGTCACTAAGTACAATGTTCTTTTCCTTTTATGTAGCAGAAATACTTCTTCATTTGACTTGATATCACTATGATCTAGTGTTTGCTCATAAGTAGGTGGGCTAGATGGTTCTTTACTGTCTATCTAGTTGTTGTTTAATGCCAGTTCTCAAATTTTATGATGAGGCTTAGCAGACATAAATTTACATTATTGCTTTGGTGATATAGGAGTAGGAAACTTTGTTTTAGCCTAATTTCTCTTTTGTGTTTGAACTAAGCAGCCACATAACAGGCAAAATATCTGTATCTAGTTTTTTGTCTTTCTCAGCCCTCAATACCTGGAATTTCTCATAGTTGTGTTCCTACTGTTTCAGAAAGAATGCCTACCATAATTGTACGTTTTCTGTCTAATACAGTCACTGTCTGATCCTTTTAAAATATATTACTCTATACTGTAAAATAGATTCCAGGTGTTATATTATCTATGTGTCCTTATATGAGGTCAGGGCAAAATCCTGATCATGTCATTTTGGCAGCAATCAGTAGAGGCAGGAAGAAAGGCAATCAAATAACTGTGCTCAAGTTCTCATATTACACAGTGTATTTTGGTGAAAATCTGAATAGTTTTCCTTCATTAATTTAACAGTGCCCATGGGCCACTGGGAGAAATTCTTTCTGGTGAAGACACTGTCAAACTGTCTAAACAAACAGATCATTATATTTACATTTGTAAACCAAAAGAATTCTGTGGAAGGGGGAAAAAAGAATCAAAATCCCTAGAATAATACAAAATGGTTTACCCACTATACCAATATGTGGAAATACCTTTTGAACAGCACTTTTGTTAGTTCTAGTGTAATAACTGATGGTCATAATGAGCCTAAGGTACTACAAAATCCTAAAGAAAATGCTATAAGTAATAGAATTTATGTTAAGAGCATAGTTTAAAATAGTCTAATTCTTTTAAGACTAGTAACCAAAGCTTGATAGGTAAAGCCACTTTATTAAGCCAAATATCTGCTAGAGCAATACTTATTCCCAATAGATCAAATGACAGTTTAATAGATAAACAAATAAGTAACTGTTAATTTCCACACATACAGCAGCTCCTAGAGTATATTCCAAGTTCAGTATGTTATTTCCTTGGACACCATGCACACACACACACACACACACACAAATTAGTCTTGGTTTGGTTATTATTAATATTAATATTTAAGCAGGGGCAATGGAAAGATATGTACACATATAATACCTTAATTAAAAAAATAACATTTAAGCAGCATAGAAAAACAAAATATCAGGTTAAAGAAACAAATAAATGCCATAAACTATTTCACATCAAGGTTGAAAAGGAAAAGTTTCCTGTCAAAGTCCTTTTTTTTTAGGCAAAACTGTCATTCAGTATTTTTATAAAGGATCTCTGGCCCTACAAACATAATTTTCTTACTTGAAATTATTTAATACTGTTGTTCTACCTTCTCTCTAATTTGTAAAAAGGGAAATGAATTAAAAACTTTCAAAACAACTGTTTTGAACTGTCAAAACTAACAATAATAAATGTATCAATCTGTTTTTCTACTACACAAAAAAACAGAACCTCTTATTGAAAGCAGCAAACACGCGAATTAAACCAATACAAAAAGCTTCTCAGAACAGCAGTGTCACAGACTCAGATGTACTGTCATCTTTAAAATGCATGATACACCCCTAACTGGTTTGAAGTGTTGGATTGTGAACTGAAGGGTCCTGGGTTTGATTCCCTGTGAGGGCACAAGCATTGGTTGGGGGCCTGATCCCCAGTGGGAGGTGTGCAGGAGGTAGCAGTCAATGATTCTCTCTCATCTTTGATGTTTCTGTCTTTCTCCCTCTCCCTTCCTCTTTGAATCAATAAGAATATGTTTTTAGCCGAAACCAGTTTGGCTCAGTGGATAGAGCATCAGCCTGCAGACTGAAAGGTTCTTCTAGCTTCTATTCCAGTCAAAGGCATGTACCTTGGTTGTGGGCACATCCCCAGTAGCGAGTGTGCAGGAGGCAGCTGATTGATGTTTCTAACTCTCTCTCTCTCTCCCTTCCTCTCTGTAAAAAAACAATAAAATGTATTTTTTAAAAAGAATGTTTTTAAAATGAAATAAAATCAAATCAAATGCATACATTCATTGAAAATCAAAGCAAAATAATTTGATTTACTTAGCTGTACCTGCTCATCTCTTTGTCTCCACTCTTGCCAATTTTCTTCTCGTGTATCCTTCTGTACTGGATTTGGTAAAGAAAGCTCATGTTGAGCATTACAAGTGGCATGGGAAGATTTCTGGGGAATTTTCTTAAAAGCAAGATTCCTAAGCTATGAAAGAAAGAATACATTACATTCAATTAGCCAGTCCTGAGATATTAATGTGTGTTTTTTTTAAGAAACCAACAATAATTTTACACTCCAAACACTATTTTTTGTAATCTTTATAATAAGAATATTAAATTCACCTGCATTTGAAATAATAGTTGGTAGATTTCTAGATGAAATGATTAATAAGTAAAAATGGATTGTACTCTATTATACCATCATTTTAAAGATTCTACTTTACTAAGAAGAATAAGTTTATAGGAACAGAACACTGGATAAGTATGCTTTTAAAATACAAAACAATAGGATTCAAAAAGATTAAAGTATAATAGCTTACAAATTTAAAAACTTAAATAGAAAGAAAAGATAACTTATGCAATTGTTGCAACTACTTTGCTAATCCTGAAAAATACAGGGCTAGTCCTCAAAGTATCATAATGAATTAAACCTGTATTGGGCAAGCCACTTCCCAACAACAAGAATAATAAGAGATGAAAGTGAAACATGAAAGAGAAATATTGCTGAAGCCGGTTTGGTTAGTAGTAGAGCGTCGGTCTTTGGACTGAAAAGTCCCAGATTCGATTCCGGTCAAGGGCATATACATTGGTTGCGGGCACATCCCCGGTAGGGGGTGTGCAAGAGGCAGCTGGTCGATGTTTCTCTCTCATCGACATTTCTAGCACTCTATCTCTCTCCCTTCCTCTCTGTAAAAAATAAATGAAATATATTTTTTAAAATATTATAAAAAAAAGAGAGAAAGAGAAATATTGAGAAGGTGTTATGGATTGAATTATATTTCTCCCAAAGATATGGTGCTAACCCTCAGTGTCTGTGAAGGTGACCTTATTTGGAAATAGGATCTTTGCAGGTGTAATCAATAAAAATATAAAAGAAAAAGGTCCTTAATACTCCAAAAGCTCCTTCTATTAAAAGATAAATACAATAAACTGATAAATAAAATAGAACCAGAGGCATGGAAACATGGTACAAACTGTAGAAGCTCAGAGGGAAAGAGTGGGGGATGGAAAGGGATTAGCCAAAGAATTTATATGCATATATGCTTAATCCATGGACACAGACAAATAGAGTAGTAAAGGCCTGGGGTGGTGAGGGTGCAAAAGGGAGGAAAAAAGGGAGGACATCTATAATACTTTCAACAATGAAAATATTTTTTGAAAAAAACAAACACAGAGTTGTTTTTTGGCATTTCTTTAAAAAAAAAAATGGGCACATTAAATGTTGGTCATAGAACTCAGGTTAAGAATGTCTAAGGTAGAGGGTTTCCCTTTTACTTATTATTCTAACTAGAGGCCCGGTACAAGGACTTGTGCACCAGAGGTACCTCAGCCTGGCCTGCGCCCTCTAAAAATCTGGGACCTGCCGAAATCGGTTTGGCTCAGTGGTAGAACATCGGTCTACGGACTGAAGGGTCCCAGGTTCGATTCTGGTCAGGGGCATGTACATTGGTTGCGGGCACATCCCTGGTCAATGTTTCTCTCTCATCTAACTCTCTATGTCTCTCCCTTCCTCTCTGTAAAAAATCAATAAAATATTTTTTAAAAAAAAGAAATTACCTTTAAAAATCTGGGACCCCTCAGGGGATGTCAGACTGCTTGTTTTGGCCTAATCCCCACAGGCCAGGCTGAGGGACCCCGCTGGTACATGAATCCATTGACTGGGCCTCTAGTATGCATATAAGATCTTTGGTTAATCTCTTCCCATCCTCCTCCCTACCCCTTTCCCTCTGAGAGTCATCAGTCTGTTCCATGTTTCCATGCCTGTGTGTTGAGCATCTGCCCCCTGGTGGTCAATGCACATCATAGCTAACAGTTGACCAGTGGCTTACGCTTTTATATATATTTATATGTAGAGGGGGGGGGGGGGAAAGAGGGAGAGAAAGAAATGATCATCAAATGCATAAAAATGTATGTTCAGGCTAGTCATAATATTATTGTCTTTAATGGTAAAAAAAAAAAAAAAATGGGAATCAATCCAAATGTTTATTTCAAGGATTCAATGAAATAAAGTATGATATAGCTATATAATTAAACTAGAGACCTGGTGCATGAAATTCATAGGAGGGGAGGTGTCCCTCAGCCCAGCCTGCACCCTTTCCAATATGGGATCCCTCTCACAATCCAGGACTGCTGGCTCCCAAACGCTCACCTGCCTTCCTACCTGCCTGATTACCCCTAACCACTTCTGCCTGCCAGCCTAACCACCCCTTAACCACTTTCCTGCCAGCCTGGTCACCTCCAACTGCCCTCCCCTGCTAGCCCAGTAACCCATAACTGCCTTCCTCTGTTGGCCTGGTCACCCCTAACTGCTCTCCCCTACTAGTCTGGTCCCCCTCAACTGCTCTCCCCTGTAGGCCTGGGTCCCCCCCAACTGCCCTCCTCTGCTGGCTTGGTCCCCCCTAATTGCTCTCCCCTGCAGGTCTGATGGCCCCTAATTGCCCTCTCTTGCAGGCTTGGTCCCTCTCAACTGCCCTCCCCTGCTGCCATCTTGTGGCAACCATCTTCTGTCCACAAGGGGACAGTCATCTTTAACCACATGGAGGCAGCCATCTTGTGTGTTGGAGGGACAGTCAATTTGCATATTACTCTTTTATTAGATAGGATAATGTGGAGTAATTGAAAATAATGTAGAACTTTATTTACTCATATTGAAAACTGTTCATGACTAATTAGGAAAAAAAAAAACAATATAAAAATCTATACTAATAAAGCTTAAGTGGCATCTCGCCCTTGCGTCATTACAAGATGACACCTTATGTCATCACAAGATGGCCACCATAATATGGCCAGTAGGGGAGAGCAGTTGGGGGCAAACACACAAGCAGGAGAGGGCAGTTGGGGACAACAGGGCTGGCAGGGAAGGGCAATTGGGGGGGACCTAGGCCTGCAGAGGAGGGCCAATAAAAATGACCGAGCCAACAGGGGAGGGCAGTTAGGAGCAATCAGCCAGTAGGGGAGGGCAGTTGGGGGCAACCAGTCCTGCAGGGGAGGGCAGTTGGGGTGACCAGTCCTGCAGAGGAGGGCAGTTGGGGACAACTAGATCAGCAGGGGAGGGCAATTAGGGGCAAAATCAGGCCAGCAGGTGAGGATAGATGGGGCAAAGAAGCCAGCAGGGTAAGGCAGGTGGGGGCGACTGGGCCTGCAGAGGAGGGCAGTTGGGGGTAACCAGGAGGGCAGGGGAGGGCAGCTGGGGGCTATCAGGTTGGGGGGAGGGGTCTGCTGGGGGCCATCAGGCCAGCAGAGGGATGATTAGGGGGCAATCAGGATGGCAGGCAGAAGCAGTTAGGGACAATCAGGCATGCAGAGAGGTAAGTGGTTAGGAGCCAACAGTCCCGGATTATGAGGGATATCCCACTGCTGGTTTAGGGGTCCCTAGATTGGAGAGGATGCAGGCTGGGCTGAGGGACCCTCCCACCCACCCCAGTGCATGAATTTTGTGCACCAGACCTCTAGTCTATTATATAATCCCATTTTTATTTAAGTAAAGCATGAGTATAGATATATGTGTGTTTACATACCTGTTGGCTATATCTCTAGTTATATTTACAAATGGCCTTTGTTTTCTTTTAAGACTTTGTTACCTTTTGGAATAAGTACTTAAGCTTCCATAGTCATAAAAAAATAAAGGCATTTAAAAACTTTTGTTACATTAAACTGAACTAACAAGCTCTGGGGGATAAGGGAAGGCAAAGAAGTGAAGGGATTGAGCAAAAAAGAAAAAGAGAAAGAACTCGAACTCATGAACACAGACATAGTGGTGATGGCATGGGAGGAGGTAAAAGAGGTTATGGGGGGGAGATAAATGGTGATAAGAAAAAATTAATTTTTAAAAAATGTTCATTACATTGTCTTTAAATACACATAAATTTACTATATCCATTCATTCAAGTCCTATTTATCAAGTACCTATGAACCAAGTACTATGGACACATGGTGAATAAGATGGTACCTGTCCTCATGATGCTTGCTTACAGTCTATTAAGAAAGCAAACACAGGTCATTATAATTGTTACCTCATTTGCTTCAGTCTGTTGCTGTTCCTTCTTTTTTCTTCTTTTCTCTCTCTTTTTCTCATTTGCAGTTGATTTGCTTGTTTGAGACTTTCCAGGAGTCCTACCTTTGCCTTTTCCAGGCTCAGAATCAGAACCACTACCACTATCCACTTGCAACAGGGCAAAACGAGAAGCAGTAGTGGGAACAGAACTAAGAACTGCTGAGGCCATTGTAAATATTTTTCTGTAAAAATACTTCTCTCAGGAATACTTCCTGTGGAGAGAGAAAAGATAGGTGAGTAATATTTATTCAAGATTCTAGGGTAATAACAAATTATTTTATACATGCATTTCTCCAGACATGGGGCTTAGTAATATTTGGATTCATACCAATAGTCCTATGAGCAATAGCATACTTTTTAATTTAAAAACAACATAAAATTGTATAATAGAAAATAAAATATGAGACTTCAGACTAATGAAAGACTACCATCAATATAATGTATTCATTTTTCCATATACAGTTTTCAAAAATTCATGGTTTCCTTTTCTTTTAAATATACTGCTAAAATATTTACATAGCCTGGCTGGTGTGGCTCAGTGTCAACCTCAGGAGGTCAGGGTTTGATTCCCAGTCAGGGCACATGCCCAGGTTTTGGGCTTGATCCCCAGTACGGGTTGTGCAGCAGGCAGCCAATCAATGATTCCCTCATTAACTAGAGGCCTGGTGAACAAAATTCATGCCCGGGGAGAGGTAGGGGGAGAGTTCCTCTTACCCCAGCCTGCCACCTCTCCAATCCAGGACCCCTTGAGGGACATCCCTCTCACAATCCTGGACTGCAGGCTCTTAATTGCTCACCTACCTGCCTGCCTGGTTGCTCCTAACTGTCCCCCCTGCCAGCCTGGTTGCCCCTATCACCATGCTGCTGGCCAGGTTGCCCCCAACTGCCCCCACCTTGCTGGCCAGGTTGCCCTCAACTGCCTCCCCCACTGGCCTAGTCACTCCTTACTGTCCTCCCTGCCGGCCTGATAACCCCTAACTGCCCCCCCCCCATGGGCCTGGTCATCTCTTACTGCCCCCCTGCTGGCCTGGTCACACCCAACTACCCCCTCAACCAGCCTTGTCACCCCTCACAGCCCCCTCTCCCCCGCTGGCCTGGTCACTCCATACAGGCTTGCTTGTTCAGCTGTTTGGTCGTCCCTCAGTAACCACCCTGCCAACCTGGTTGCAGGCAGCCATCATGCGAAGGCATAAGGGTTAATTTGCATATTACTTTATTATATAGGAGGTTTCTGTTTCTCTCTCCCTCTTCCTCCCTCTAAAATCAATAAAAACATATTTTAAAATAAAATTATACACACACACACAGACACACACTCTAGAGGCCCGTTGCACAAAGATTCGTGCAAGAATTGGCCTTCCTGCCCCTGGCTTCACTCCCAGCGACCTGGGAGCCTGAAAGTCCTCTGGGAGCCTGCAAGTCCTCACTCCTGGATGCCCGGGAGCCTTCAAGTCCTCGCTCCCTGCCAGAGTGCCACTCCTGTAGCTCTGTCCACTCCCCAACCTCCCCCTCATAGCAGATGTCTCACCCCATTCACTGCTCCGCGTCTGCATATGCAAATCAACCTGCAATCTTTGTTGGTTTTATTTGCATGCTCACTCCTATTGGCTGATGGTTGTCACAGATATATGGTCAATTTACATATTTATTTTTTACTAGTGCAAATATTTATGGAAAATATCCTACATCAATATGGTTTAAAACAAAAAGTATATGTTTAACCCCAACTTCCAAAACAAAAAAAGTAGAAAAGAACAATCTTATATATAAAAGACTGATCTAAAAATACCTTAAGTATTGATCCTAGTGACTAGTACTAAGTCACATAACTGAGAGATAGAGAACTTAAATTCCTTCTAAGAAAACTGTCCAAAATCACCCCCACATTATCTTTTAGTTCATACATATCCTCAGTGCACCCTAGCAGCCTTGCAGTACCAGCTTGCGTCCCTAGCCTCAAAGCCCTGCCTGGCACCCCACGTTGGCCTGGCACTGCTCCCTCACCTGCTTCACCATCCTTGCTGCAGTCCCACTCTTGTTAGGACCCATCAGGGCCCATTGATCTGGCAGCGCCTCCATTGATACCCGCTGCCAGTGCTGCATCACCTACACCCCCCATGTTCTGCACTGCCCCCTGGTAATCAGCACACATCATAGCGAGCAGTTCAACTCCCATTGGAAGGATTGCACAAGGGGACAATTTGCATATTAGGCTTTGGATTCTCCAGGTGAATGCAGGCATGACCATGTGACTGCCTTTGGCCAGTGAACTATGAGCTTTAAAAAGCTTTAAAAGCCAGAACATGGTTCAACATGTTAGCTTTTCCCTGCTTCTGTGATTGTGGAAGCATATGTTGAGATCAAGAATTTATCAGTCAGATCTGATGGAGTCTGAAACCACAATGAACAAAGTATTCTTACTAACCTGTGCTGGATACAGGGCAGAGAAAAAGTAAGTTTACAGTTGTATGTGAAACACAGTTTATTCTTATATTATTACTTATTATTGTATTATTTTCCATACAAACTGTAAACCTACTTTTGCCCACCCTGTATTTAGCTTGAGCAAGAAAGGAATTTTACTTCTTTAAATATCTGAGCTTTTCAAGTTGTTCTTGCAGTGTAACTTATAGCCTTACGTAGCTGGTTATCTTTCACAAATAAATTTCTTTTCCAATTTAAGACATATCAAAACTCATTCCATATTTGGATTATTCTGCATTAGTTAAATGTTCACATATGTCTGTTCAAAAAAACTCTCCAAAGGCCATAGAAATGTTATTTCTGTAATGGCAGAGCTTCCTTACCAGTGTATCCTCAGATAAAGTTTCCCTTTGTCATTGGGGCAGCTAAGACAACCCTGGAAGAGTGAAGAGATCCTGGGCCAGTCACCGCCAGATGTAAGCAACCCTATTTGATGCTCCCCACAGGACAACTCATGCATATGCTACTCTGTAGGTATTTCTCAACTGAGACAAGCGAAATGCTTAAGCCCCTTGAAATCTTTTCCATCAGAAAAGATGCAGAATGCACTGCTGCCCATTATGGTAGAATCAGTTTTTGGAACTGTTAGAAGAGTTTGTTGTATTCTTTAGGTGCACCAAACACAAGGTACACAGTATAGGAAGCAGCAACTGCTGTCAGGAGAAGGGAAACACAAAACTCTCAGTGAGCAAGGTTCCAAACAATGGCCTGAAATCTCTACTTTCACAAACAGAAGATCTTTCCTTTCACTTGCCAATGACATGCCTTTTTAATGGCATAAAAACTAGCTGCAAAGTGATTGCTCAAACAATGTATATGCTTTCTGCAAACTAGAGCTTCATCATTATTTTAAACACAAGTCCAATTGGATGTGAACTCCTTTAATAATATCACAAGAAATATTATATTATTAAATTTGAAGAGAAAAGATTTTAGGTTCTTTAAAAATAATTTCAACTATTATAAACTACTGAATGGTTATAAAACAAAAATGATTTGTTTTTATTACCTACTCATCCAAACAAAATTTCAATGGAAACTCAATCTGAAAAAAAATCTGGATCAGGGCCCCAGCCAGGTGGTTCAGTTAGTTGGAACATCATTTTGTACACCAAAAAGGTTGCAGTTTGCCTGACCAGTGTGGCTCATTGACCTATGAAACAGGAATTCACGGTTCAATTTTTCTGGTTCCAGGCTTTGTCCCGGTGGAGGAGGGGGAGTGCAGAAGACAGCCAATGATTCTCTCTCATCATTGATGTTTTCTATCTCCCTCCCTCATTCCCTTTCTCTCTAAAATCAATTAAGAAAAAAAAAAGTATATATATTCATACACACACACACACACACACACATATATATTTCAAAAATGTTGCATTTTTATTCTGTCAGGGCACCTACCTAGGTTGTGGGTTTAATCCTTGGTAGGGATCCTACAGGAGACAACCAATTGGTGTTTATCTCTCTCTCCCTTCCTCTCTTTAAAATCAAGAAACAGATCCTCGGGTGAGGATTTCTTTTTAAAGTCTGGATCAGGAATTGTATATTGTTATTTCATGGATAAATTTTACTTAAAAACTTATGTTCACAGAAGCAAGTACAATTTTCTCATTGAAAACTCTGATATGATTCTGAAGTTTTTAATAAATTCAACATTTAATATTATCCTAATACACTTTGTTTTACCTATCCTAATCATATACTATTAAAAAAATATATATATAACACACCGAAACCATTTTGGCTCAGTGGATAGAGCATCGGTCTGCGGACTGAAAGGTCCCAGGTTCGATTCTAGTCAAGGGCATGTACATTGGTTGCGGGCACATCCCCGGTGGGGAGTGTGCAGGAGGCAGCTGGTCGATGCTTCTCTCTCGTTGACGTTTCTAGCTCTCCATTCCTCTTCCTTCCTCTCTGTGGAAAATCAATAAAATATACTATAAAAAAAAAGAAAAAAAAAACCTTTAAAAAAAATACAACACATTTATTCCCCAGCCAGTTCAATGTAGACATTACAGATCCCCCAGTTTGGGGACAATGATATACCTATGGTCCTTCATGTTAGTAACGCAGAAGTCAAACAGCAGAAAAGCACTAGACAAGTATGCTGACCTGAAGCAAGAATACCTGAGCAAACCCAATCTGCTGCTTACTGTGAGCCCCTGAACCACTTACTTGATCTGTGTATCCTCATCTGTGAAACGAACAAGAATTCCTAGCTCACTGAGTTGTTAAGATTAAATAAGTTAATGTACTTTACGTACAATAATATAACAGTAGTCAGTCCAGAACCATCCAAATAGAAACATCTACCGGTATTCTTACTATAATTAATTGAAATATGTCTTGAGGTCCTATAAAGCAAAGGAAAATTGGCACAACCTATTTAAAAATTTGGCTAAGCAGGTCTAACTCCACTGCAAAAACGTTTTGAAATTTAAATCAACAACATTCTAAAAGCTAACTAAGACTTTAATCTTTGAAATGAAAGGAAAAAGTTGTTAAGCATTGAGAAGTAAGTGTTGAGCAGTGAGCCACTGAAAAGGATCAAAGACTAATGATTATACCTAATATACTGCAGAAGGAAAACATCAGTCTATTCAAAACCCAAGAATCATAGTAGGGTCCATGTCTTAAACAGTGGGCATACAGTATACAAACAATAAATGTTAAAATGAATGAAAAATA